TTTGTTCAATACTTGTGGATTGCTGCTGCTGTGCTAAAAGGTAACTTTTTTTTTTACTTTTTAGCATTAATTAATCCTTAGAGGAAAAATATTAATGACTTGAGTTTCCTACAGTAGTTTATAGAAAGTATATATACAGTTATTTTGAGATATTGAAATATGTAGTTTTACTGTGCCCAGACCAAGAAGACATTTACACCTCTCCGTGGCACTCAGTGCATTGTTCTTTCTACTCAGTGTTTTCTTGCACACCCTTCTCGGCTACAGAACAGGAGATTCGGTCAGTGATGTAGACTGGAACAATATGAGTGTAAATGCAGTTTTAAGTGATAATGTGTTAAAGCTTGTTTCAAATCTGTGTATGTTCATAGATCTGTACTTTTACCTCTTACCTTAATAGCTGTAGAAAATGTTAAGATCTTCGGGTAGAGTTGCTGAACGCTTTGCCTCTTCAGGTAACAGCATAGTAGTTTACACATATAAACCGTGTAAATTGATACTGAATGCAAGTCTCCTTTAATTTTGTCTTTTGTAAATTTGTTTAATATTGGGAATGCTTCGCCCCGTTCAGATTGTGACTAAACAACGATGGTGAGAACAATATAAAAGCTGGAACCTTAAGAATATGTGAAAAAAAAGGTGAACATTATCTACGGATTACCTTTAAATCCATGTCAGTTGTGCGTGATTGCTCCAAGAGACTGCCTTTAAATGTTACATTTTGGAGTGCTCAAAATCAGCATTCCAGCTTTAATTAAGACTAAAACTCTGAATTTTTCGGCCAAAAGCCATATGCAGCATGAAAAGCCTGGGCCATCCATATGATCTAGGCATGTGTTTAGATGCCAGGCATTTACTGGTTCGTTTAGATGTGCATAAATCAATTTGCTGTGCATTCTGTTTTTAATTTTATTTGATTAAGTGTGTTAATCAGGTAATGCCAAATTTATTGATCTATCTTTTGGCCACAGATAACACAATCTTGTACTGTTTGGGGAGGCTGGTATTTTGTTGGAGACACAGATCCCAGTAGTATTTGCCTATCAAATGATTTTTAATTTTTTTTTAATTGGGTTTGAAACAGCTCTGTAAAATAGCAGAGCCAAACTTGAGCCAATTAAGTATGAATCAATACAATGCAGATCTTTCTTTTGTCAGTTCTAGATAATGATTGAATGTTTTTAAAGTCGAACTCTAGTAAAGGGTCTGTTGCAGATTTAAATCACTGTGATGATGCTTTTATTTTCTTGCTTTCAATGTTGTGCAATAGCTTACTCTCCAGTTGTAAATTATCTTTGCAACCTGAAGAAATTTGCTATAAAGTCTTTGGTATGTGTCTGTCGGCATCATTCTGTGCCCCTTAAACTGCGCTTAAAAGTAAAATACCCCAGTACTCTTTGTATTGGTTTCCCATAACTGGGGAATCAATTTCATATAATTAGCAGAAGCTCTTTGGACTCCACAGTTCCTAGTCTGTGGTTTGGTCATCATCATTGCAATTTAGACTGCTTGTAAGGGATCAAGACTTGCCTCAAAGTGGTTGCTTGGAAATACTCAAAACACCTTCCTATTTAAGACAGTTCAGGAAAAACCTTTTTTATTTAAGGTAGCATGCTCTACTCAATAGCTGTACCTTTTCTGCCCTCTTCTTTCCCTTTGTGCTACATATGAGAAAGATTACTCCAGAGTTCTACGCCTGCACAAAACCTTTCTACCCCTCTTTGTTATGCACCATTTTTAGTTTAATCTCTGGTTGTCGTTGAAGTAACAGCGTATGTTAAAATCAAATTAGATTTCCCTCACAAGCGTAATATTTCCTAATATTCTCTCCTCTTTCTCTCAGGCGGTCTAGCTAGTGACTCACATTTCAGTGTTCCAAATCTCTACTGAGACCAACATTTCTTGATGAAGATCAGCAAGAGCAATTGGTATATCTGTACAGAATTACCCAACACAATTCTGTCATTTTCAGGAGGGAAACTAATAATTGTTAGTAGCAGAATTTCAAAGATTGTGGGCTCATGCCTGTATATATTATTTTCTTTCTTCAACTTGTATCTGAATGACCAATGCATGTCAAGTTTCATTGACTTGAGGGGAACCCAGAGCAATGAGTTCTGACAATTCTTGTACTGTACCAGTCTCACCCAGACTGCATTTACATTCCAGTAGGAAATGTAGATGACATGGTACCATACCCATGAGGTTGCCTTTTTTCGCTCCATGGTTCCTGGTTAACAAGCACAAAGTGTTTTGTTTCTTTTATAATTTCTTTCTGTAGTTTTTGTTTGCATACCTCTGGTCCCAAAAAGTCCTTATTGAAATAAGATTTGTAACTCATGGGCTGTCTTACTCATCTGGGGAAAACATTAAGAAATAGTCTGCAAGAATAGCAGAACAGGAATTATAGAGATTTCCACTGGTTTAAAAGTAGGGGCTGTGTTGAAAGAAACAAGGACTTCAAAAGATCAAAACAGTTGTTGTCGATTTTGATTCATTTTGGTAGTTTTAAAAGGTCAATGTTTGCATCATTTTTTAAAATTTTGGTAAAGATTTGAAGCGATGTATTTGACTGCTTTCAGAAAATCTTATTAAAGAATGATTGCCAGACAGTGGAAACAAGAAGTCTGATTTTCATTTTTTTTTTTCCCTCCAGATATGCATTAAGTGTATCTTCTGGACAATGTGGTGTTTTATTCTAGGTTGTTTAATCAGGCTGTATTGAAAGCTTTTCATAACACTGTCATGTGTAATAGCCTTGGTACGACCTTTTTTGTACGGCTTAAATTCTTGAGCTGGTTATCATTGTTTTGTGTCTTCATTGGAACAGGTTTGTAAGGGCAGTCCTATTGTACTTCTCTGTTCTAAATATTGATTGTTGTCATGGTCTTGTCTGAATTACGTTCCCACATGTTTTTCATTCCTCCATTGGGTCTCACTCAAATGTGGCACTTTTTTATCTTGAGTTTTCAAGGCCTCCTAGGTCCTATCTCTGCTTACTCTCTTTGAAATTGCTCCTTCAGGACTCAGCATACTTACTGACATCTCATGGAATGTTAATTTTCATTAGGTCCTTATTGAGTTGTCCAAGGCAGTCTTACCTATGAGTGTTTCACAAAGCCACCGTTTATTTTCTAATTCTTTCTTTTTGTTCTCCTTTTCTTTGTTCCATGGTAAGAAAACCCTAACATAACAAACAAAAAAAAACCAAACCCAAACAAACCAACCCAATCTTGTCTCTTAACGAAATAAAATGAAAATTTTTAAATTACGAGCAGTAAGATATAAGGTCAGTCAATAAAATACTCTTGCAGTTGCAATGACAGTGAAGGAATGCCTCTGCAATAATTGGAGTTAAATAAGGGTAGGCCGTTGTGGAGAGAGAGCATACTAGAGGTATATGCAATAGAAGCAAACTGGAAAGGTAAACTCCTGTTTAACCTTTAACACTAAAAAAAAAAAAAAGTTCCTTTGAAGTTGACAAACTGACTTCAGGGTACAGCACAGAACTAATTTTTAGAAGTGAATGTTCTGGAATTATCAAGGCCAAAAGCTGCAGACAACATTCAAAGGCATGGTTGGGTATCAACAAGGTTTCCTGCTTCTCCACTGCAGGAGTCTGTTCCTCTGCTGTGGCGTATGGTGCTCAGATTTTTCTCGCTCACCTTCCCACCATTTCTCTTTGGTGGTGTGGTTCTCCTGAAAAATACGTAGATGAAGAGAAGTTCAGGAGGTTATACACCGCTGACTTAATGCGTGGTTTGACCCCGTCTCCTACGATGCGCAGTGGTAATGAATAAGACATTAGCTGGGTGCGGTCGCTTAATGATCAGCCATTAACAGTTGGCATCTGATGCTTATGGTTGAGCTTAACAGTCAACAGTCACTGAAACGATCGATGCTTTTTATAATGACTTCTTTGGTGTGGTCTTAAAATCAAGAAGGTCTCTGCAAACAATTATCTTTTCTGTATTTGTGTGCTGGTCTGTTCCACAGAAGGAGATGGGAGAAGGGTGTTCTGGGCAGGGGTGCTACAAACATGTATAAAGCCACTGAAACCTCCTGCTAAATACCAACTAAACTGATAGAAACTGAATAAAACTTAAGTGCATGAAATACAAGGTGATGTATGTAAGGGACTAATAAATACATATGATAAAAGGGTAGTTCAGTTGAAAATGATAGTGTAAAAATGCCAGTTGCTAGCAAGATGATTCAGCACACTTAACATTTTTCATCCACATCTATGCGTGTTTCTTTAAAATACCATTTGTTAAAAATAATTCTGCAGATTATATGCAGAGAAGTCAGAGGCAGAGGAATTTGAGGCCAAAGCAATGTTGTGGGAGAAAGGGGTGAAAAAGGGGTGGGGTAGTGGGGTCAAACTCCCATTGCGTTATCTACATGGGTTATACATTGGCAGATCTGTACTACTGCTGGATAACGGGAAGCTTTCTACTGGCAGCCTGCACAAAAATGTGGTAGTTAGCATTTTAATGTGGCCATAGAAGAAATGAGTAGATTTCCATGACTAATTATTAGAAATAATTCCATTCAAAAAAGGAAAGTATTTTTATAGTCCATTGGTAAAACCTTATATTGTTTTCTGGTATGGGTTGTTTGTTCTCAAATTAGACACTGAACTTCCTGGAGGTAAGTCACTTGGAGGTGACGTTTCATTCATCCAGGGCCTTCTTATTGATTGTATGTATATTTATTTTTTGCCATAGTACCTCTTGTTCCTTCATTGCTTCTCTGTTTCTGAAGCAATTTCCCAGTTCAGCAGAATTCCTGTGGATTTGAGGGCTTGGGTCAGTACAGCCATTCATTCTGTTGCTTTTGTTAATTTTGGTACCTTAAAAGTATGTCAATGTGCATTTTACTATATTTTTAAATGTAAAAATTTAAAGTATGTCTAGATTGTTTTCTTGCAAATAACTTTTTGACTTAAAAATGTGAACTTTTGTACAAAGTAACAGTTCTTTCTTATGTTCGGGTAGGGGAAAATGCAGTGTTGCACTTCTGAATGAGACAGAATCTGTGCTGTCATATCTGGAGAAAGAGGTAATATGTGACTTCTGTTTGGGTGAATACTGGGATGGGTTTATGGTGGTTTTTTATGGCTGTATTTTTGATAAACGAGCAAACAGTACTTGGAAAATCTTTTCATGGATGGTGTTAGAAAAATTATGTTGTTGAAAACACTGATTTTAAAAATGTTGTCGGATAAAAACTTAATTGACACTCCTAAATGATGCTTTTATTGCAAATATGCTTGTATTCAGAAAATAAATAATTTGAAGTAATTCATATGGTATCTTACAAAAGAAAAGTATACAGACTTTTTCCTGTAGCGGATTCTCAAGGGGGAATTTGCATGGCTGCTTTTTTTTCCCTTATTTTCTCCTTTTTTTTTTCTTTTCTCTTTTTTATTTTTATTTTTTTCCTAGAGGAGTTCTAGAAAGAAGACTGGTCCATAATGAATGGACAGAGAGAGCTCCTGTAGAGGGCAATTTAGCATAGGAGTTTAATTTTAAGGGCTCTGAATTACTGTGTGGAAAATACCTCCTCACCTTTCATTTCCTGTGGAAGGAACTTTGGATGCTTTACCAGAGGGGAAGAAATTCCCCAAGAATTTGAAAGATACTGGTATTGCAAAATACCTTCAAAATAAACTTTTTTTTTTTTTTTTGGAGTGTCTTTATATAATTTCAGGCAGACAGTTGTTTTTAGCTGAAATTAGCGTGTCTTTATTTTTAATTTTCTGTACCAAACCCACTGATAATTGGTAAAAATGTTTCTGAAAACAGGACTTGCCCTATACTTCAGGTACACAAAAATAGTATTGGCATGTCCAGTACAGTAAGCCCTTTTCAGACACTGTCAGTGTTTTACGCTTTTTTGAGACTGACTTATAATGCAAAGTCAGTATGGTAGAGATATTTAGGAGAGGAAACATTAAATTCACAAAGCAGTTAACATAATTCTTTTCAAATCCATTGGTGTATTTTTTTGTGTATGAATCTTTTCATTATTGCTGTGTTCTGAAATAATTCCTAGCTATGAGAGAAGCTTCAATTAGCCATTTAAAAGCACTCATGAAACATCTGCATTATTTAAAATAAGGATTAACGTACCAAACCTGTGCTCTGTAAAAATGTGCAAGGGTGATTACTTCAGTAATTTCCAAATGGAAGGTGATACAGATTTACAAACCTAATTTTAAAAAACTTCATGCTGTTGTGTCTTCTTTTTTAGGATACTTTTTTTTATTCATTGGTGTATGATCCATCACTGAAAACGCTTTTAGCAGACAAGGGAGAAATCAGAGTGGGGCCTAGATATCAAGCAGATGTGCCAGACATGCTTGCAGAAGGTAAATATATGATCTCTGATTAGTCAAAAAAAAAAAAAAAATCCTCATCTTGCATTATTAGTTATGCTGACTTTCTGAGCTAAAATAATCAGCATAGAGGCAGAGAAAGAAAAATAGTAGGTCTTAGAAAATTGACGAATACCAGTACACATTATGAAGAAGGAAACGAAGGATACTTGAATAGCTGTTGAAAAGATACCCTGCATTTCCAGTTTGTGCATAACACAGTTGAGACATTCAATGTTTGTATTATTTAATTGTACAGCCAGGTTAGTTCTTTGATACAGGCCTCGTGGAAGAGGGATGTTGAGGACCAACCCATTTTGTAGAATAAAAACACAATAACAAAACAAGTGAAAAATGTGTTTGTTCTTTCCCTTTTAAAACAGGCTCTGCATAGAGAATGTGTGTCTTTGCGTCTCCTTATTTTAAAATACTGGCTTCTGTCAAAGCATCTTGTCTGTTTTATAGCAGGACTGAAACAAATGTTTCGAGCTCTGGCATATCTTTAAAATCATTGGTATTTTTTAAATTGTATTTTATTTATTCATAGTCTGGCACAACTACCTGTGCCTTAGTCTTTTGCTACATAGGAACTTTATTCTTTTAAACAAAATTTCAAGAACAGTATTTATTTAGTGTTTGGATGTTATTTAAGAAACATGAGCAGCTGTGTCTTGTTAGGTTTGCAATAATATTTACTTAGTAAATTTTAAAATGAGCTGGTTTTGTCAGCGAAATGTGCACTCTACATTGAGTACTAACAAAAGAAAAAGTTTCCTGAGAAGTATCTAAACATAGATACTATTTTCAAGACTCTTGGTATTTATTCCATAATAAGAAAAGATTATGTGACAGGAATATCACTTGCAGCAAGTCAGAGGAGTTCTGAATGCCTCAAGTATGTGTATTTATAACATTAAATGGTGTATTTTTTATTTGTCATGGACTGCTTTTTTTTTTCTGCTATACTTTTGCTTCATTCAAAACAAGCGTTATTTCTACAAAGCTTATTTATTAAACTATATACAACAAGAATGATTTGATTTCTGGCAAGTGGCAGATTATTTTGCGATGGATGCCGTTTAGTAGCTCACCTGTATTAATATTCTGACTTTTCTTTTAATAACCAGAAATAAACTATAAGAGGTCTTTCCCAGATTTGTTTATAAGGCGTACAGACTTGTTTGAGAACACATTTATGACTGGAATATGATACACTGCTATTCTTGCTGTAAAATGTGCCTGTCATAGGGAAACAAATAATTATGTAGACATTCATAATTTCAAGAGGAAAGCTTCCCAGAGGACTAAGAGGAAATGACTGTCTCAATGTGTGTGTGAAGTAGACAGGAAGAATTTATGCGCTTCCAAAGTAGCTGGTTGAATTGTTGGGTTTTCAGGATGAGCTGAGGTTGTCTGCCAGGCAGGAAGTCTTTTCCTACTGAATTCTGCTGCTTAAATTACTAAAGACAGAGCCTAATTATCAAATAGTGAGTACTACATATAAAGTAAATGTTTTTCCCATGGAAATTTTACCTATTTAATTTTTTTCTAAAAGTAAATTCTATATTTATTAGATGTTAAATTACTAAGTTCTTCTGGAGCTTAACTTGCTGAGTTAAATCCTTGATTCATTCAAATGAAGATCTTTCTCTTACGTCAGGAAGACAGGACTTCGCTGTGTGTTACTGTCTTGTTTTTCTCACACCCCGTTAATCCCCAGAGTGCAATAACTGATGCAGTCTTCTTGCTGGCCATAATAGTCCATCAGTTACTAAGGTTCAGAAACACCAAGTTGCCCACAAACCAAAGATCTGGTGGTATGTAGAGCACTTCTTTGGCAATTTAGTGGAATTAATCTTCCCTTATTTCCAGTGGCTGGTGGAAAAAAAGAGTCTGGTTTTAGGAGGATAAAAATACCTGAATTATTGTAGTTTTGACTGATTGTTGTCTAAATCTTTCTGTAGCCTTCTGACCCCCAAGGAAAAGAAAAAGATGATTCAGCTGTTACTGTGTGTTTATGTAAGCTGATAGCCTGAAGGTTAATCCATTCACTGTCAAGCTTTTCATTCATGAAAACAAATCTAAACTATGTTTAAATTTAATAGAATAAAATAGATATGTTTGGAAAATACGGGATTCTGTGAAGATTTCTGAATCTCGAAATAAATTTTTCAGCCTGTATTTTAAAAGTGGCTAGTGATCTGTATGTACAAATTACTATGCCATAATGTATGACTCTTTAAAAAAGCCTAGAGCAATGACCTTAAATAAAAAGAAAAAATCTAGCCAACTTTTAGTCAGTTAGAGATTATTTGAGAAAAAATAAGTTTTATCCCATCTAATAATAGTATTATATAATGAAATAGAAAGCATTGCTAAATTTATTCACATGTAAAATGTCACACCCATTTTAAGGTAAAGAAAGTGTACCTTTTTGAAGGTTGTTAGTAGGCATATTTTCTGTTTGCAGAAAATGCCCAGCGCCATTTAGAAAAAAAAATACTTAGAAAAATCAAAGATTCACACACATTCAATTATTTTATTTTAAAAGTTACTGGCGTATAACTGCAATTCAGATGACTAAAAACATGCCAGCTCAGATTAGCTTTCTGAAGACCTGTCACAAAATGGCTAAAACCCGAAAAAGTTCTTTGAATTGTGAAAGCCTTTCCACATCTTCCATAAACATTAAATAATTTTGATGTAAACACACTGATGTATTCTAGTAGATTAAAAATTCACGTTGCTTGCATTTTCTCTATACTGTGGTAATTTATATTCTGTCTGGACAGACTGCTGTCTTTTTTTCTTTAGTGTTTATTGGAGAACTGTATGCTACTTGTTTGTTTGTTTGAATAGGTTCCCATGCTGCTCTTGCATTGATGTTACCGTTTTTCATCATTGAATAAAACATACTCCAAAACCTGGTGCTTAGGACAAATTTTGGATAATGCAGCATATCCTCTCCCCCTATCCCACCCCATGAATGAACTGGGTATCCTTATATTTGTCTTTAATTTTTCAAATGAAAAGAATGTTTTCTTTTTAAAAGTCTAAAAGGTTTATTAAAATCAAGATACATAATAAAGTATTACAGATCCAACTGTATTTCCACTTTGATATCCTTTACACAGTTACAGTAAACAAATATAAACAAAGTTTAACTCTGAAAATGCCTAAGCCTTGTTTATCTATGCTGTTTTTGTTTGTAGTAGTTTAGGTAAATTGCTTAGATTACACATTTAGTGAAGACTATCCCTTTGGAGAAAGATCAGACCAGATTATTTTCAGTCATCTCTTATGACTTTTATTAAGAGCATCTTTGAGAGTAAAACTAAGATCAAGGTCGTCAGATTCGAATTATATTATGACTGTGTGAAACCCTTCCTTCTCCCCCCAGTGCCAAGTGCTCTGGCCTTTCTAGACTCTAGTTCGAAGACTTTGAGAGCGTTTTTAGTTGCTCTTACTACACTGGAGAAAGACTATATTCTGCGTCATTGACTCAAATTCTGGCTAGTATGGTACTAAAGAAGGTCCTTTCTCTGCTTTTAACAGCACGTTCTTGAGTGTCTTATTCTTATTCATAGCAGTTGTCTATTTTCAGATCTGTTTCCAATATGGGGTAACATTCTGCTCCTCTGTACAAAGCAAGAATAAAAGAGCCAAAGCACGCATTTGAACAAAGAGTATGTTGTTTCAAGCATCCCTACTCTATGGTCCAGGAGCAAGGTACCTGGTTCTCTGCATGTGATGGCCAGAAGCTGCTGTCTGGTGCAAATACCTACTGTATTTGATCAGCAACTTTTAAAATATGTGACTAGTCGAGTTCCAAAAAAAAACACAAAACAAAAAACCTCAAACAAACAACAAAAAACCCGTATGGTTTTGCTTTGACAAAGTCATTATTTGTTTAAAAGGCATACTTTTATAAGTTGTTCTGACTATGGTCAGATTGCTATCACCTTTAACTAACTAGATTATTTTTTTAGTCCTCTTTTATGTGCAGAGAAGTCTAAGTGTAAGGAAGGTCAGGGAAATTGCTCCAAGCTAATCAGTTTAGATACTTGCTAGACTTTCATGAAACATTGATCCTTCCCTATCTCACAACTTGATCTGTTTAAAACCAAATGCTTTTAATTTCTGGCTTTCCAACCAACATCTCTCAGCAGTGGAACAACTGATGCAGTGACAAGTTGTGTTACATGTTTGGCTAGAAAGAAGAGAATGAGAGACAAAAAAGTACCAGTGTGGCATTAGGGATATCATTCATGAAGTAGGATAATGCTTAAGAATGGGAGTAACTGGGAAAATTTCTTTTACTGTCCTATGCTCACGCTAGTCTTTCTGCCTCATGCATAGTATCGTACGTCTAATCATTGTTACACAGTAAAATGCATGACAGATTAGCTAAATAAATACAGTCAAAGTGTTACAGGTAGGCAAGCCAAGTGTTTAAAATAACCTCATTGGCCAAATCAGTAATTTCTTAAGTAATGCTTACTTTTCTTAATTCAGAGGGTTGTGAATCAGGTGGAAAGACTGGGACAAAGTCAACAAAGGTCAGTAATTGTTCCCCTGTCTGTCAAATCTCAATTAAAACTTCTGAAGCAAAGGATATTTTTTAAATAAAGCTAACAAAGATCTTTACCATGACTGTGTTCTGGTCATGATTTGTAAGTTTAGTGAAACTATTTGGAGTATTTCTTTGACTAAAAAATACCCCAACCAAACAAAAAAAAACCACTAAATTTTATTTTCAAGAAAACTGGTAAAATTTGGAATAACTGCCTCCTATGATTTTAAAGAAAATTAGAGAATAAGTGTAGTTTGTGTAAATAAATTTTCTGATGTTAATTTGCTTTGTCAAGTGATAAAGTATGAACCTTTGTCTACCAGAATTTGGTAGAACAAGGCTTTGTTAGGCTATGTAAAATGTTTAAAATGTTGAAGTCGGCATTTTCAAGAAGACTTAGCCCACCAGTGTAAGAACAACC